GAACGGGGCAGACCGCAGCGGGTGCTGTGCGGCTCGGAAACAGGGGCACTTCCCTCCCCTCGACGGGTCGGACCGGCCTCCAGCCTCGCCGTGCGCGGCTGCCGGTCCCGGTTCTGCGGCACCACGGCGGTGGGGCGTGGGGGGAGCCCCGGGATAGCCGAGGACCGCGGGCTCACTGTGTCCTGTTTTGCTCCACCSACAGCCGGACTCTGCAACTCGCTGYCCTGCGGAGCCCCGGCCTTCTCCGCTCGACAGCGGCGACGCCGAAACATCGGTTTACAGGAAAACGCTTGCAGCGGGAGCATTCGGGGAGCCGGGGCACGGACAGCTGCCGAGCTCGGCCCCGGTACGGACCGGCGGGCAGCCCTCGGCGCCCTCGCTTCCCCTTGTCCGCGGWGCTCCCTGTGCTTCCCAGAACCGGGCGCTCCCCAGAACGGCAATGCAAGCCCGCAACCCCGACCGAGCCCACGGCGGCGGCGCCCACCGGCCGCTGCTTCCACATCACCGAGCCTCTGCCCCGGCCGCCGTCGTGCGGGCAATCCCAGGACCTGGCCGCGTTGGCTCGGTAGCCCTAAAGGAGCAGCCACGGCCCGGGAGGAGCCGCCGGCGGCGGCGCACGACGGTGACAGATCCAGCCCGCGCTCCCCCCTAGGAAGGATGGATGTGAACGAGCTACTAAGTGTAGTTACTAATAACAATAACAATAAATTATCGGACTGTTGCTCAGTAACGCAAACAAATGTTTCGCGAACCACGCGGAATCTCCCCGTGCCTTGCAGCCGCCCCACCAGGACCGGCCCGTCTGAGGACCGGCTGTTCCCCGGCCCGGGAAAGGACGCTGTTCGCCCGGGGGCCCCAAGGAGCAGGTGACCGGGCCAGTGGTCAGGGCCGGGGCCGTTCAGAGCGGCCGATAGCGGAGGGGGAGTCGCCGGTATCCGGCAGAACGCGGTCGGAGGCCACGCCGCGTGAAAAGCGGCGAGCACCGTGCCCGTATTTTAATTAAGCAGGACCTCTTTGATATAGGCCGCCCGATGCTATCTRTTCTGCGCTCTGTTCCCGTCACGACAGTATTTGGGTAGGAAAATTGCTGAGCGAGGCGGGTCAGGCAGGGCGTCGGGGCCGCGCCGAGGAGCCGGAAAGCCCCAGGGAGCGGCGAGCGCTGCGCAGCGCTGGGAGCCCCAWCCCCGCCGCGGTGCGGTGCCGCCGAGCGTCTTTTCGGGGGGCCTGGAGGAACGGGAGCCAATTTACCATGATTAAAGGCACAGGCGAGGAGGCGCCATGCATTTGCATGCGCCTTCATCTTCCCTAAGTGAATTTTTGAGGGCAGCGCGGCAGACAAGCTCGGGCTCCGCATCCCCTGCGCTGGTGGAGCGCCCGTCCGGCCCCGCGGCGTGGAGGGCTGGAGCACCCCGCCCGCAGCAGGGAGCCGCAGGACCG